CCGCTCACCGTGCCTTCCAGCCGGAGCCCCGCTGTGCTCAGGCTGTGAGGCTGACAGCCTGGCTCCTGGTCTCCCTGTGGCCTCAGCGGGCTGCCCCCACGGCCGCCCCGGTGTCCACGGGACCATTCCCCTTACACGGGGCAGCGGCTTCCAGGGGCCGGAGAGGGACTGAGGCCCGTGTGCGACCACAGCAGAAAGGGGATGAGGGGTGTGTGCACGAGGAAGTCCTAGGCAGCGACCAGCACCTCTAGGGAAACTGAGTTGACAGCCATCTTGGAGCCCCGGCCGTGCCCCTGGCCAGGGCGCTGGCCCCGCACTGAGGGCCTCGGGTTAAGTCCTGGTCGGGGCACACTGGGCTGTGGAGTACGTGACCGGGTTTCCCATGTGAGTCTCTAAGAAGCTACCTCTCTTGCAGGGAGCCAGTGGCCCCGTCGGCCCCAAAGGAGAGGTGAGTAGCTCCGGACAGGCCAAGGCCAAGGCCAAGGAGCGGTGCTGGCCGGCCGGCTCCTCGGAAGCCGGGTGGCAGCTGCGGTGGCTGCCGGCCCTCGGAGTCTGTTGTCTCTCCCCAGCCCGGCAGTCGAGGGGAACTGGGCCCCAAAGGCATCCAGGGGCCCAACGGCACCAGCGGCGTGGAGGGTGTCCCGGGCCCGCCGGGGCCGGTGGGCCTGCAGGGGGTGCAGGGCGTGCCCGGCATCACCGGGAAGCCCGGGGTCCCGGTACGTGGCCTCCTCTCAGGGCGGCAGTGGGGGGGGGGGGGCACCGCCCCATGCGCTGACCACCGTTGGGTGAATTCCAGGGGAAGGAAGCCAGTGAGCAGCGCATCCGGGAGCTGTGCGGGGGCATGGTCAGTGGTGAGTGCTCCTCCCTGGACTGCCGCTGCCCGCCGCCCGCGCTGGCCGGGCCTTGCCCACGCAGGGTCCCCCACGCCTGCACGTCCCCGGGGTCACTGAAGACAGTCAGGGCACGCAGCGGCGCCCTCAGGCTTGGCGGGCCAGGAGGCACCTGCACTCGGCCCGCGGGTCTGAGGGGTCTGAGGGAGCGTGCGCCTGCCCTGGGCCCGCAGAGGAGGGCCGAGCGGTCCCGGGCCCTGAGCAGGGCGCCTCTGGGAGGCAGAGTGACCTCCTGACTAACCGCTGCGTCTCTGTCCCGAAGAACAAATCGCACAGTTAGCTGCCCACCTGCGGAAGCCGTTAGCTCCAGGGCCCATCGGTCGGCCCGGCCCGGCCGGCCCCCCGGGCCCCCCGGGGCCTCCAGGCTCCATTGGTCACCCCGGTGCTCGGGGGCCCCCTGGATATCGTGGTCCCACCGGAGAGCTGGGAGACCCCGGACCCAGAGGTGAGTCCAGGCGGCCCCCCAACAGCCCACCCCTGTCCTGCCCTCCTCAGAGCTGTCTCCTCCGCGGGGTGCGGGAGGGAGGAGAGCCGAGGGAGCCAGGGACCTGAGGCACCCAGGCCAGTGGACATTCTGGCCTTGCCTGGCTTCGGTCTCCCCACGCTGCCCTCCTCTGTCCGCGAGAAAGGCTGAGCGTTGGCTGGACCCACCCTGACCACCCGCAGGCACATTTTTAAAAAAATATATTTTTTATTGATTTTTCACAGAGAGGAGGGTAGAGTGACAGAAACATTGATGAGAGAGAAACATCGACCAGCTGCCTCCTGCACGCCCCCCACTGGGGAGGTGCCCGCAACCAATGTACATGCCCTTGGCCAGAATCGAACCCGGGACCTTTCAGTCTGCAGACCGACGCTCTATCCACTGAGCCATACCGGTTTCGGCTGCAGGCACATTTTAAATGTCCTGTTTTCTCCGGTCAGACCACTGTTGTGGGGGCAGGGTTGCTAACCGTGGGAGGCGGTATCAGGGCCTCTTTATACTTAATAGAATGCACCGTCATGAAAATACAGCCACTGCTGTTGCAAAAGGCAGAAATTTCAAAATTCAGAAACCTCCTATGAGCTATGAAGAGCCAGGGAGGGTGATTTAGACAGGAGGTAAGTCCTGGGCGGCTGTGCCCAGTCAGACACGTGCCTGGGGACCTGCGGACACCAGCGTGGCAGATACTGGCCACGGACCTTTTCCCAAAAGGCCTTTAACGCTGACAGCACAGGCGGCTGCAGCCAGGCGGCTCACGATTCCCATTCCTCCCGATTTATTGACCAAATGATTGTGCTTCTGAAAGCTAGCGTAGGGATTGAGCAGTTCCAGCACTAGAGCGTGAGCATGTCAGGTTCACCTTCCATCCCAGAGGCCACATGGCACTGGGTCTCACACACACACACACACACACACACACACACACACACACCCCGTGGTGTGGGGACGGCTCTGCTGGCTGGCTGTCTGTCCGGGTACCAGGAGCAGACAGGCTTTCTCCTCGCAGGGCTCCGAAAGCCTCGCTGCTTCGAAAATAAGATTCAAAACTAGAGTTAATCACCTTTCCCGGCTCTCTCAGGCGGCAATGCGGCCGCCCGCCTTTGTGGGGCAGGCGGCTGCCGCCTCAGCACGCGGCACGGGAGGTGCTGGGGGTGGGGGTGGCTGTGACAGTGATCTGGGAACGTGCAGTGCAGAGCCTCAGGCAAAGCCGTCAGTGCTGAGCTCCCCACCCCAGACACACAGGCCCGGGAGGCCGTTCCTGCCTGCAGTCCTGGTGGCCTTTGTGTGATGATGCCCCCACAACGCTCCCCTGGCCCCACAACGCTCCCCTCCCCTCGCTCCGCTCCGCTCCCCTCCCCTCCCCTCGCTCCGCTCCCCTCCCCTCCCCTCCCCTCCCCTCGCTCCGCTCCCCTCCCCTCCCCTCGCGCCGCTCCCCTCCCCTCACGCCGCTCCCCTCCCCTCGCTCCGCTCCCCTCCCCTCCCCTCCCCTCACGCTGCTCCCCTCCCCTCGCGCCGCTCACCTCCCCTCCCTGGCTCCCTGGGTCCCAGCGGCTCCTAATGCAGAGGCGTCAGGATTGGAAGTCTCCCTGACAGCCACGGAGGCAGCGGCTTTGGTCACCGGGCAGCAGACGAAGGCTCCTCTCCCACGCTGTCCGCTGTCCCCAGGGCTCGCTGCCTCAGGGCAGTCCCTTACCTGGAACGTAGAGTCACAGCCAGCGCAGGCTGACAAACAGGACTCCTGTGGGAGGCCTCGGTGTTGCAAAGACCAGAGCTGGTGGGAGGGGTGGCCAGGATCCCGCAGCTGGCGCGCATGTAAAACACCTGTGCACAACTCGTGGCCGTGTGGGAAACAGGGACACAATGGAATGCTCGATGAGTGACAGGCTTCAGTGCTTCCCAAAGCGGGCACCGGCGGCCGGCCAGGCTCCCGGAGGAGCCTTCTGCGTGCCGTGTGGCTGCCGCCCTGCAGCCTTCGCAGCCCCAGCATCTGCTCTGTCACACCTCCGCAGGAAGCCCAGGGGACCGCGGAGACAAAGGCGTGGCCGGCCCCGGCCTGGACGGACCGGACGGGGACCAGGGCCTCCAAGGTACGGCGTGTCTTCGGCCTTCCCAGTCCCTCCCTTGTGGGCAGCACTGGCGGGGGTCTCAGGTCTGACAGAGGAGGTGCTTTCCGGGGCGACCCTCTGACAACTACTTCAATGCGCGATCGGTTTGCCCGGACAGGCCTCCTGCTCTCCTTTAGTGAAGCAGACTCTGTTAAAGTGTTTAACTAAAGCCATCTAGTATCCATTTCACTTAAATTCTAACAAAATTCTCTCTTGATGGACCCACAAGTACCCTGAATTAAAAAATTCCCCCCTGAATGTTTTAATGTCAAATGTAAGAGCTGTCCTCGGCAAAGGCCAGCTCCCCCTCCCCCCAGCCTTCTGGGGGATTGTTTGGGGTCATTTTCATCTGCACTCACATCCTGGGAGTCCACACAAGGGAGCAGGGCCTTCCCCAAAACCTCACTGCCCCCTTACCCCTCCACACACACCCCAGGTTCCTGGCTTCTCTTCTGCTGATTCTCCTCTGCCACCACCCCCAATCAGGTGACCCCTAGTGAGAGTCTATTGGCTCCCCATCCCTCCTTCCCATGCATCCCCACCTCTCACTCCTGCCACCACACCATGCGCCCCTCTGAGCGTAGTCTGAGCTGCCACACTGGATGCGACCCAGACCCTGCCCCTGCCTCCGGCCTCCCGCCCAGGGGCTCCGCCCTGCGGCTCTCCAGGCTGGGCTCTCCTCCCTCGGTTTCCAGGGTTTGGAGACAAGCCAGTAACAGTGTGGGGAGGCCTGCAGGTGGACGGGGAGTCCCACTGGGGCTCAGTCTCATGACATCTACACGCATCTTCCTTCTCTGCCTCAAGGACCCCAAGGTGTGCCTGGTGTGGGCAAAGACGGCCAAGACGGCGCCCACGGCGAGCCTGGGCTGCCCGGGGATCCTGGCCTTCCTGGTGCTGTTGGTGCGCAGGGGACCCCCGGCATCTGTGACACCTCGGCTTGCCAAGGAGCCGTGATGGGCGGCAGCGAAAAGTCAGGTCCTAGAAGCTCCTAAAACACAGCCTAGAAAGTGAGAGTGACGCCAATCGAAGCAGAAGCTCTGGAGGGACACCGGGACCAGCAGCGTCCATTTCTGAGGAGAGCCACACCGTGTGCGACGGCCAGCGAGGCCTTGCTGCCTGCTGCATCCTCGGCCCCGAGAGCATCCTCCAGCCGCTGGGGAAGTCCTGTCTGGTGTGTGTGCAGCGGCTGTTCGGCTGTGATGTTGGACCCTGAACACAGCCCTGTGTGGACAGAGAGTACACAGTGTGTACAAGCCCATGAGAAATCCAGCAACTTGTTTACATGGCATTTGTGTACACTAAGATATAATCCCAATAAAATGATAAATTCAAATTCATGACTGACCACAGTGTAACAAAAAACAAAGGATTTCACATACAGTACCCTCCGCACCAAGGTCTAGTCTGACCCACCTGCTTCTTTTGTGTAAAACTTCTGTCTCTGACCAACAGTATTTATTGACGGTGACTTTGTATTGCACTAAGCCAGTTGTAATGAATAAAGCCACTCGTTTGAAACACTCAGTTCCAAACAATAGTTTATTACATGAAAAGGAATGACTCTCAGTGTGAAAGCGAAGTCACCAAGCAGCCCGCAGTGACATCGCCTCTATGGACCAAAGGAGCTTTAAGGATGTCTCTGGGAATTCCTAGCAAAATTCTGCAATGCAGTCCACGTGACTGGAAGCCGTTGCAAGGGGAGGCGATAAACAAATGAAATGAATTTCCAAACTACTTCTAGTGAAGAACATTTTGACTTTTCCAATTGCTAAGGGGGCATTTTTAAATGTAAAGGAAATAAGTAAAAAGCAGTGTACCTTGTAAGACTAAAGAAATTACAAAGGGTGTTAATTTTTTAAGTTATCATGTTAAGAAAACATGATGGAATCAGACAGATAATTGAAAATTACTAATTGTCACTGTGTCTGCATCCCGATGGTCTAAGAGGACATTAATGGACGAATACTTTGTTTGAGATTTTGTTCTAGATAATATTTTTACAAAATGTGCTTTCAAAGTCCCCACTGGAGTCCCAACTTGAGTCACGTCCCTTGCGAGTTGACGGTTGGCGCAGAGCTCCAGGGCTTGGACACACCCATGGCCGGGCGGAGGCCGCATGCTTCCCGGAACCAGTGTCCAGTCCGCTCACTTGATCTCCATGGCAGGGCTGCTCTGCAGACTTTCCTGCGCGGGACACGTCGCCAGGGAGTCAGGTCTGGTCAACTTTAGCCTCCTGCCAGTTTTACCGCAAAACACACTCTCAAATTCCTACAGTTGAAAAAAGATCATTAGTGTGCCAATCCATAGACATGAAAACTGCTTTCTTCGAAAATACAAAAGGTTGAAAGTAAGAGCTAACCTACTTCAAAATATACAGTTAGCCCAGGCCAACGTGGGTCAGTGGTTAGAGCGTCAGCCCACGCACTAAAGAGCCCTGGGTACCATCCCGGTCAAGGACATGTACCTGGGTTACTGGTTCACAAATCTACATCACATCTTACTGGGGGACTGTATGATAAAAACAGGGATTTAAACACTTTGTTCATATGTTGCATTGACATTTATTTTTATTTAATTTTCCAACAGCTTCTCACAATACCTGGTCACACTCTAAGAGTTTAAAAGCAACCACATTTGCATTTGTTATTTTACTGTGGTAAAGTATATACAGTATGAACTTTACAGTTTTAACCATTTGTAAGTGTGTGATTCAGATGCATGAATATATTCACACTGTTGTATAACCATATAAATTTCCAAATGTCTTTTTTTTTTTTTTTTAAAGCATAGCATTCTTAAATAATTAATCTGGGTTTATATGTTTTTTATTGTGGTAAAATATATATACAGCAGGAATTTTACCATTTTAACCATTTGTAAGTGTACAATTCACTGCCATTAAGTACATTCACACTATTGTGTAATCATCCCTTCCATCTATTTCCAAGTTTTTCTTTTTTTTTCTTTTCTTTTTTTAAATATATTTTATTGATTTTGTACAGAGAGGAAGGGAGAGAGAGAGAGAGAGTTAGAAACATCGATGAGAGAGAGTCATCGATCAGCTGCCTCTTGCACACCCTTTACTGGGGATATGCCCGCAACCAAGGCACATGCCCTTGACCGGAATCGAACCCGGGACCTTTCAGTCCCCAAGCCGACGCTCTATCCATTGAGCCAAACCGGTCTCGGCTATTTCCAAGTTTTTCATTAGCCAAACTGACACTCTGCCCCCAGCCCCAGCGCCCAGCATCGACCTCTGTCTCTGTGAATCCGACTCCTCTAGGCCCTCATGTGAGTGGAGCCACAGGACTTGTCCTCCTGTAACTGGCTTATGCCACTTATATGTCCTCCAGGTCCCTCCATGTTGCAGGTGTCAGGACTGCCTTCATTTTTATGGCTAACAGTCCTTTGTGTGGATAAAGCACATTTTGTCATCCATCTATCAATGGACACAGGTTGCTTCCACATTTTGCCCATTGTGAATGATGCTATTGTGAACATTTTCATACAAGTATCCATTTGGGTTCCTGTTTTCAATTCTTTGGGGTAAATACCTGGAAGTAAAATTGCTGGATCTTATGGTAGTTCTATGTTAAACCTTTTGAGGACCCACCAGGTAGTCTTACATATGGCTGCACCAATTTATTTTTTCCATCTTTATTGTTTAGAGTATTACAGATGTCCTCCCCTTCCCCCACCATTTCTCCCTCCACCTGGTTCCACCCTAGGCCTTCTCCACCTTATTGTCTGTGTCCATAGGTAATGCATATACACATACAAGATCTTCAGTTAATCTTTCCATACTCCACTCACCCCTTCCTTCTGAAATTCGTCAGTCTGTTCCATGTTTCCATGCCTGATTCTATTTTGTTCATTAGATTCCTTGTTTATTTTTTTAGATTCAATTGTTGGTAGATATGTATTTATTGCCATTTTATTGTTCATGTTTTTGTTTTTTTAATCTTTCCACCCCCCTTCTTCTTTTCTTAATGAATACCCTTCAACATTTCATGTAATACCGGTTTGGTGGTGATGAACTTTTAGCTTTTTCTTGTCTGTGAAGCTCTTTATCTGACTTTCAATTTTAAACAATAGCTTTGCTGGGTAGAGTAATCTTGGTTGTAGGTCCTTGCTATTCACTTTTAACATTTCTTGCCACTCCCTCTGGCCTGCATAATTTCTGTTGAACTATCAGCTGACAGTCATATGGGCACTCCCTTGAAGGAACTAACTGCTTTTCTCTTGCTCCTTTTAAGATTTTCTCTTTAACCCTTGGCATTTTGATTATGATGTGTCTTGGTGTGGTCCTCTTTGGGTTTCTAGTTTGGGACTCTCTGCACTTTTGGACTTGTAATTCTATTTCTTTCACCGGGTAGGGGAAGTTCTGTGTCATTATTTCTTCAAATAGTTTTCAGTATCTTTCTCTCTTCTCTTTCTGGCACCTCCATAATGCGAGTGTTGATACACTTCAAGCTGTCCCTGAGGCTCCTTATACTATCTTCATATTTTTGGATTCTTTTTGCTCTTCTGGTTTTTTTGTGTTTGTTTTTTGTTTCCTCGTATTTCAAATGATTTGATTCTCAAAATCCTGTACTCTACTGTTGATTCCCTGTAAATTACTTTATTTCAGTTAGTGTAGGCTTAATTTCTGACTGGCCCTTTTTCACAAAGATCCTTGAATATCTTACTAAGTCCCCTGAAGCTCTCATTAAGATCTTTGAGCAACCTTATAATCATTGTTATGAACTCTGAATCTAGAAGTTTCCTTGCTTCCATTTCTTTCATTTGTAATATGTGTGTCTCCACATTTTGGCTGTTTCCCTGTGTTTCTATGTATTAGGCAGAGCTGTTATGTCTTCTATGTATTAGGCAGAGCTGTTATGCAATTAGTAGAATGGTTTGTGGATTAGCTGTCCTGTAGGGCCCAGTGACTCAATCTCCTTAGTTACTTGAGCTGGGCACTCTAGGTGCATGCCCAGTCTTGTTGCAGTTGAGCCTTGATTTCTGTTGAAGAAGTCACTGGAAGGAGTTGACCTCCAGACCAACTGGCTGGTGACCAGCTGTGTCTACAATGTAAAAGCTGCTGTGCAGGAGACACTCGACTGTAACAGGATTTGCTTCATTAGGGCTTTGGTGCTCACAGAATCTGACCTTTGACGGTGTTACTTTTGGAGGTATAGGCTCTGCGGCCTCCCACGGGTCAAAAGTTGGCCACTGCCTGCAGTCATTCTGCAGAAGCTACAGAGAGATCTGCAGATAGCTGCTACTTATTTATATTGGGCTAAGAAAAGCTCAGGCAAGGCCCAGCTAGGCAGGCTGGTACTGGTGCCAGGTCTTGGGCCTTTTATTGATAGACTGGTGGTCTGGTGCACAAAATTCATGCATGGAGGAGGGAGAGGGGGAGGTGTTCCTCAGCCCAGCCTGCACCCTCTCTAATCTGGAACCCTTCGAGGGATGTCCAACTGCCGGATTAGGCCCGATCCAGGACCACTGGTTCCTAACTGCTCACCTGCCTGCCTGCCTGCCTGCCTGATCTCCCCCAACTGCCTCCCACCTTACTAGCCTGATCACCTCCAACTGCCCTCCTCCCATTGGCATGCTCACCCCCAACTGCCCCCCCCTTGCCAGCCTGCTTGCTCCCAACTGCCCCCCCCCCCTTCCTGGCCATTTGCCCCTAACCACCTCTGTCTAGGCCCCGCCACCATAGCTTTGTTTGGAAGGTCTCCCCAGTCTAATTAGCATATCACCCTTTTGTTAGTATAAATTTGAAGCCAGCTGCTGCTTGTTTGAGAGATTTTAAGAAAATATGAAGCTTGAGCCAGGACAGACCATTCATATAGAAAAGCCACTGCAAACAGCTTGGGTGGGGCTGCCAATCGGATGGGGCAGGGTCTCAGGGAATCACCGGGTGGAGCAAACAGTGTGGGCCAAGGCTGATGGAAACTCAGATATGGCTGCCAGTCAGCTCTGCAACAGGGGAGGTCCCAGCACAGGAACAACGACCCCTGCGAGCACCTCTGGGATAAAGCCGCCTCTGAGCTCCTGCCCGATGCCAGACAGTCTAGTCTCTCCCTGTATGTGTCTGGGCCCCCACCCTTGGAGCTCAGAGAAGCAGGACCATGTAAGTTTGTGCTCGAGCCCTTTAAGAGGAAAACCTGGGTCTCAGCAGCTTCTGTGTCACTCAGCCACAATTCCTTCCTGTTTTTTACAGCCTGAAATTATGGGGACTTCTCTTCCCAACTCTGGAATCCTGTGCTGGGGGTCTGGCGTGGGGCTGGGACCTCCCGCTTCTCATGGGAGGCCTTGGAGATACCCTTCCCAATCCAAAGCATGCCACTCGTGGGTGTTGGACCAGCCCATTCTGCAGCTCTGCCCCTCCTACCAGTCTCAATGTGCTTTCTCCTTCACTTCTCTAGTAGTAGGACTTACACTGAGCCAGATTTCAGGTTCTGAACGATGGCCGTTCTGCATTTCTGTATTAGTAGTCATCTTGATGTGGCTGAGAGGTGGCGAGCACTGGTGTTTATCTATGCTGCCATCTTGGTTCCCCCTCTGGCTGCACCAATTTACAATCCCACCAGCAATCCCAAAGGCTCCAATTTCTCCACATCTTCGTCAACATCTGATTAGTTTTTTATTTTGTGTTTTTTTCTTCTGTAGCCACCACAGATGGTATGAGGTGATATCTCACTGTGTTTGCATCTCTCTGATGAGTAGTGATTCTGAGCATGTTTCCATGTGCTCACTAGCCATCTGCATGGCCTCTGTGGAGGTGTCTTGTCAGGTCCTTTGAATCAGGTTTGTCTTTTGGTTGCTGGCTGTAAGAGGGTATAGTTCATTCATGCCAGGAAGGTAAGTGGCAGCACTCTGTGGGCACTGGCTGACCCCAGTCTCCTGGAGTGATAGGCACTCCACTGGACTGCAGTCTCAGTGGTATTATGACCAAGGATCCTGCCATGTACAGCTTCACTCAGAAGCCATATATATATATAAATATACTCTAAACTTTGTAAGGTTTTAGTGCAACTTAAGACAAATCACATGTTGATAATTCCCTGGGTTCTGATACCCAAAGCCCCAAAATAAAATATCTGCCCATATTGAAAGGGTCAAATTTACTTTAAAAAAAAAAATTCATTTCAGAGAGAGGAAGGGAGGTGGGTGAGTGGGTGGGGGAAGAAACATCAATTTGTTGATCTACTCATCCATGCATTCATTGGCTGATTCCCATATGTGCCCCAACCAGAGATTAAGCCACAACCTTGGGT